AGTATCAATCTCTCCGGAGATATCCCCTTCATGGCCATTGGGCCCCATGTCGTATCACCTGTGCCCTGGACCGTTCCCAGATGAACAGGTTCTTTCTGTTCTTAGAACCCCGTTCTGAGACACCCCAGCTATGGGCAGCCACCTCTACGCGGTGCTGGGGACTAGTACTTGCCAGAGTATATCCACTCGTCATGACGCAAGGAAGCCAAGGTCTGCTCGCGCCATGCCGTCGGTTCTTTCCAGCATCGGTGCAACATCGTGCATCACAGGCGGAATTGAGGCCCGTATGGAACGGAGGTCCGCATCCGTCAATGCCCGCTGCCAGTCATGTACAATATTTAGCTTAGATTTTGTGGTACAATGTATACAGTATTCACTCAGAATCGATTCCATCTGTACAGTAGTATATCCTGGTCCTGAACAATGACGCAGACGACGTCGCGAGTCCTGGGTAACTCCCTCCGGTTCGCTTCGGACAAGCAGTCTGCGAGTCGGTGTATGTCTGGCAAACAGATTGCTTGTTGCATACTGTACTCTAAGTTCAGACGCGTTCGAACGCCTTCAGATGGTCCGCTCGACAGATATCGACCTTGGTGACGGGTCATGCATAACAGGGCCTCGGAGATTGCCCGTCTTGTCACTGCGTGGGGCGGAGATCTCGCAACAATGAGGCAGCCTAGCCACACCTGGGCAAACCCATAATCTGGGAATCTGGGAGCCCGATGTTTCGGAAACGGGCAAATCATCCGACAAGACTACTGTTCTAGCTCTCGTGATGAGCCTTATGATAGTGACCAGTGGGTTTGTGTTTGTGCGCGGTTGAAGACCCAGAATGCCCCGCTTGTGGCTGGAGCTCAATTTGTAATGCACACAATGCCCCATCATGTCGACATCTTTTCACCGCGCATCAAGATCTGAATCCCCCAATCCTGCGTTGGCTTTGGCGCAGCATGACTCGGCTCCACGCTCAAGAGGAATTGACCAGGCTGAATGCGATCATGCATTTCCAACAATATGATGGCAACCCTTTTTAAAGTGCCTAACCATGTCTTGTGAGACCACCCAGTGGAGGAGCTACATGACCTGCAGACCAGGGGTGGGGGGATTGGGCGAAGAATGGCCAAAAGATGGTGAAAAGAAGGGGAAAACGGTCAAAGAATTCGCCGAGTAGACATGGTCAAGTGAAGTTGGTATACCGTTGTCTTTGGGTACGCGAGTGTGCCACGGGGATCTGCTGGGGCGTTGATCCGTTCAGAGGACGCAAATTTACCCAGGCGAGCACGTCTCTTCACCGCCCTCTGGTCCGGCCCTCTGGTCGATCGTTGTTGCCTTGGGCCAGAAACATTTGCTGGGGCTCGGGAAGGACCGAATTTAGTCCTTTTCGGGAAGTTGTTTCAGGGGTTCAACTGGATGCCCGCCTCGGAAATCCGAATGCTCACCGAACGAATATTTTTGCCCTCAGGTTTCGACCTCTGGGCTTAGGGCGTAAAGCAAGAACCATTGGCTTCTATATATGCT